TAAATACAAACACTGCTTAAATCCCGACATATGCTAATTCTACGGGGTCTGAGGTAGGATTTAAAGTACTAAGATTTCATAAAATACATGAGGTAGGAATACACAAAATATATAGTAAACATGAGGTGGGGATATATGAAATATAGTGAACTAAACACTACTTTTACAGCAAATAAGTTTCTTGGTTTCTTGGGTCTCTCAATAGCATGCTCTTAACCTAAATCTATTGTTGTCCTCTCAGTTGATTCTAGACATGATGGTATCAGCTCTAAGAAATCAGAGCACAAGCCGGGCACGGTGGCTCAGCCTGTAATCCCAGCACTTTGGGAGGCTGAGGTGAGTGGATTGCCTGAGCCCGCGGGTTCGAGACCTTCCTGGGCAATTTGGCGAGACCTCATCTCTACAATAAAATCAAAAAATTAGCCAGGCGTGGTAGTGCACCCCTGTAGTTCCAGCTGCTTGGAAGGCTGAGGCAGACGGATCACCAGAACCCAGCAGGTAGAAGCTGCAGTGGCCGGGAGCATGCCACTGCACTCCAGTCTGGGTGACAGAGTGAGACTCCAACTCAAAAAAAAAAAAAAAGGAAAGAAAGAAATCAGCACAGATTTGGGCAAGAGGAAGTCCCCCAGTTTGTTTACAAGCCTGTCCCCAACATCTTTCTTATTCTGATCTCAACAATGAGGATCAGGATCTCTGACACTTAACCCCCCTCCTTGACAGGAACTCTATAGGGAGAAGAGGCTTGCCACCAGGAGGAAGAAGGAAACAGACAGAGAACAGTTTTCATAGATTTATTACAATGTAGGCTGTTTCTTTGGCTTTTGCTCTGCCCTATACAGCACATACTAGAGATCTGTTACAATTTATATGTTTTTTCTTTGGCTTTTGCTGGCCACATACACACACTGCTCAAATCAAGTGGCCCAAACACAGAGATTATAAATCAATCAGCAGGAAGTCAGAAGCCCTATCAATCTACTCCTCCCTCATCTTGCATCTGATGCAGCACCATAGTCAAGTTCCTAGGAGGCAGACATAAGCATGAAGGGGAACTTTAATAAAGAGCTTCCAGAAAAGTTCAGAGATCCTAGGAAACCTTGGTGCACAACCAAAAAGCTGACAAAGGCCCAGGTTCTAGCTTTTCAGAGCAACTGGAAGATAGCCATAGCCTCCTCTGCAGCTCTGCTGCCACAGAATGTTAAGTACTTGTTGCGTCGGCACTGTC